TGTTGGGAAAAGATTAATTATGAATCATATAACACTCTCTTACACCTGTCGCATCTAAAATTCGTACTACACTCAAATGTAAGAATAAACTAAACACTTCACTTAAACACAAATAATCGAAAAGATACATTTAACCATTAGTTAATCCAGGGCCGGCCTAGAGGGTGTGCTGGCCCGCCCTCCGGCACAGGGCCTCCGAATATTAGGGGCCTCCACTTAGATTTGTTAGTTACCGTTCGTACATTGTAGATTGTATTTTTAGTATATGATTGATTGATTATGAGTATGATGACGATTTTAATAGATAATTTTAGCTATAATAACAATTAAAAATGATATCATGAAGAATACGAAAATAAGAAAGATAATAGATAATTTTATGGGTAACGTCTATTTTTTATCCAGACCTTTTTCAGATTCTTTTATAATATCCAAACCTATCGAAATACTAAAAATTAGCCGAATGTTAACTTTCGGTTAACATTTTTGTTAGTAATATTGACTTGACAACATGATACTGACTTGGAAGAGACACATGAAGGTCAAGATTCCAAAATTTTAGTATTTTAACTAAGAAAAGAGTTACAGAATTATTAACAATAACGTAAAAATGACTAATATTTTGGTGCATTATGAAATATTTGGCTAATTAATAAATTTTTAATAGGTTTGGATAATATAAAAGAATCTGAAAAAGGTTTGGATAAAAAATAGACATTACCCTAATTTTATTTTAAACTATGTAGAAAGATATTACAGTCATTTTAGTTTTATTATAATTAAAATTCAATCTAGACCACGTCTCAATTTTGGAACAAGGCCCCCACGTAGCATTAGACAGCCCTGGGAATTTGGTTTTGTTTTCTTCGTCAAACTAGAAACGTGATCATTTATTTCTTTTGTAATCATTTTCTGAGACTATGCATTTTTTATAATTATTTAATAATTTTTATTTTTAATAAATTTGTGGAGAAAAATTTTAGGGCCACATTTTAAATTTTCGAACAGGGCCTCCGAATATTATGGGACGGCCCTGAGTTAATCAATATGGAAAAGATGTAATTATACTTTGGTTACAAGCTAACAACGCAACCTTGTGTGGATGCTATTATGGATGTAAACGTGCATCATAATGATTGATCTGGTTGCCAAGTACTAGTTGGAAAATTCAAATTCTGATCAACTACTCACTAACCCGAGTGACTGCAACGCTAGAGCATCATTATATGCAAGTAGATGTTGTGATGGCATATATACAAGTGAAGAGGCGCCTCTAATGAGTAGAGCACAACGGAGCGCTAAGTTTGGATAATTAGTTAGGTTCTTCTGGCATTTGAGAGTTTCAAGGTTGCTGGTTGGTTGGTTCAGCAGGCAGTGGCTTCTTCAGACATTGGCAGGCAGGGGCATAGCAGATATCCTTCCTCCCTACAGATATTGTTGATTAATAATACATTCATTTCAAATTTGTTCACCACTTGTCCTCTTAACTAAGAAAATAATACACACCCCCAAGGTTGTCAACCCGCCAATATATCCGTTGATACATTTTGATCCTGATCTGGTGAAAGAAATGGGCCACGCACATCTGCAGTCCATCGGTTACAAGGTTATTGGATTGGAGGTTACACGGCGTCGTTTTATCCTTTGATTTGCGAAATATACATATTTTTTTGGTTTTTTCTTTACCTAACCTTATTCTTTTGAATTCTAATACGTTATTTCTCATATGTTAGATGAGATTTGAGTGTAATTTATAAATGTATGAACACTTTTGTAACATCTTGAACCTTTTCTCGAGCAAGATATTGTCGGCTTTGGGGTTCGGCCCTCACGATTTTTTATTTGAGGTGCAATTCAAATTGAAAATCTTTGGGGTTAGAATTTCTAAGCTAAATTTAGAGTAGTGATTTAAATATGTTCATATGTATTTTCTAATTATACACAATCTTATTATAAAATAACACTAGACTGAATGCCTAATAACACTATATTCTCCAATAATTTTACCACATTTTATCATATTATGGTCTTTTTTTATCTTTTAATGAAAATAACAGATAATTCTAATATTTGTTCATATAACTTACATACCCATTGGATCAACCTACCCCGACCCGTTTCCAATGATAAATTAGCCAACTTGAACCCGACCTATCACAGAGCAGGTACGAGTACCAAAATACCCGCCTGTACCTGCCCATTGTCATTCCTGCTCTGCATCTCTATGGATGATAGTGATGAGATTGGTTATGTGAGCACATGATAAAGGTATTTTATTTGGAGCCGGATAATCGTTATTTATTATGGGTAGTAGATTGTTGAATGTCACCTGCGACTGCGAGTAGTCGCGGTTAACGAAGAAGATGTAGAGTCAGTGTTGAAGTCGCATGGATGAGTCGAGCAGATTGACCCAAATGAGTATGTAATTTAAAAGAAAAACATTAAAAATGTCTTTTTTTTCCTTCAGAAAACAAAAAACAGACTATAAAATCTACATACATATCCCATTATGTCGAAATTATCATCCCTATCCCTACCATTATGATGTTGATGATAGGAAGCAGGAGGACAAGAAGGAATTAAAGCCTCTCATATCTCAAAAAATTGACGAGGGTCCTCACTTACATACACATCAAACATCATGTGGACTGAACTGTAAACGGTTTGTTCAACCATCAACAAAACTTCAACCAAGATATATAGATGGGAAATCCCAGTTGTTATTATAAGAAGAAGAAGAAGAAGAAGAAGAAGGTGATGATGGAGAGGACCACAATGATTTGGTCCCTTGGTGCTTTCCCATCTCTGGCCAGAAAGGGAGGCGATACGGCCATGCTGCTGCTGATGATTAATTGCCATCGCATTGAATGTGGGTTTTGCATGGCAAGAAGTCAGAACATTGCTCTGTAAAAATGGATGGAGATAGAGAGTGCAGTTTCTTTTCTTGTGTCGTGATGATATGATTGTTCTGTATTCAGGTTACGATGTATGCAGTATATGGGTGGGTTTTCCATAACAAAGCCAATCATTTTCTAGGGGGTTTCAGGTGTTTTGTTTCACATATGCATGCATCATAACCAGAGTTTTTTTTGAATGTATATTTTTTTTTTTTGGAATTTCTGTTCTTGGTGTTTTCTTGAGGCAGGGGAGGGAAGAGTGTTATGGGGGTGACATTAATTCCTGGGGGTATGTTCATGTTGAAACAGCAACAGCATCAGAAACAGCAGCTCACTGTTTTTTGCTTTGAATTATATGTGATTGTTCAGTGGGGCATATCCTTTAGACCAATTGGGTAAAAGGTTGTATTGAAGGCTAGCTGCAGGATGTACAAGGGTTTTAAATGCTATAACATAATAAACAAGGACATATTTAACAATAACTGAATGTTCGGAGTTTACGACTATGGTAAGCAATGTGTATAAACAACCAAATAATGCTCCGAAATGGCGAAATCACTTACGAAACAACATGATTTGATCAAATATACTTCATAAACAAGCACATATGGATGGTTGGCCAAAAAATTGTTGCTCCACCTCGGTTTCTTTTTAGCCAACCAACCTTATGGATGAAAGAAGATCCTATAAAAATCCTCAAAAAAATTTCACCCTCAAAACCTAAAGAGGCCAAAACCCAAGAAATAGTCATATATCCATATCAACAAGCTCTTCTTTACAATTCATCACCTCTAGATCAAGCCACATTGTCACCGCCTATGCATGGTTTGACAATGAAACCAACATTAGGAGAGTTCTCAATCCTATACAAATCAGAAGTAGACATAAAATTTTGGGTGTTTCGCACGAGAAGACTTTTATTATTAAGAGGAAAAAAAATGACTTCTTTGGATGCGGACGAAGGACAGAGATTTTGAGTTCTCATTTGCTACTGTATTGAAAAGTTACTTTGAACTCCAAGATGGGTCAGAAGTACTTGTCAAGTTGGTAACTTGGATAAAAAAAAAAATGATAATCTCATTCATCTCAAAGAAAATGTTGGCTGTAAAAAAAACCGATTCTTGGCCAGTTGGCCCTTTCTTCTCTCAGCCGGGAAACAAAGCACAGTGGAAACCAACCAGCAGCAAGTAATTCATAAATGGAAACAGAGGGAGGAATAAAATGGAAGGAAGCAGTGCTTTTCCGTCCGGCCTGCCCTCCGACTACTAAACGTGAAATGGCAAACTCTGAAAGAAGGAGATAGATCGAAATGACACTACTCTACTCATCATGAAAATATTTCTTCTCTTCTGACTTCTGAGCATTGCATGCTGCAAAATTTGTACTCTGCTGCCGCTGGAAAAGAAAACAAACAAACGGGGAAAAAATGCCGAAATGGGGCCAGACTTTCAGGCAAAGCCCGACCCATGAATTGGTTGCGGGTAATAATCAACGGTAGGTTGAAATGCTCAAAATACGAAACACCCAACAACAGAAGAGAAGTCTCTTCTTCTTTGGTGAAAACACTCTCTCTCTTCTTTCTCTCTCTCTCTCTGTTTCCTGTTACTGAGACTCAAGAATTATGACCCTACCGCCAATTTCTACAGTTCCCATCAATGTTCTCGGCGTAATTAAACAGTGCCCACCCTGCTATTCAATTTCCCCTTCTGATTAGCGTGGACGAAAAAAAGAGAATAAGAAGATGAAGAAGAAGACGAAATAGGTGAATGGGGTCTCATTTGGTTCGTTAGCAGTCAGCCTGAGCTTTCGGACGTGACTAGCATTTACCAGCTTCACCAGTTTTTGCTACTGTTCTTGTTTCATTTTTTCAAATGTCGATTTGAAATCACTACTGAATTTTTTTTTTCCTGGCGCAGGTCTTGGCATTGTACAGTACTGTTTGAAAGAATTAATTAAGGAGCAGCTCTGTACCATAAATTGTCGGCATTGTAATCGAAACAAGGAAAGAAAGGGAAGGATTGCTCTCTGTTCTGCTATGATGATCATCATCATCATCGTCAAATTACGCATATGTAACATTCAAAAAACCAACCTTTAACAAAAAAAATTGAAAACAGGGCACACGTAATTTCAAGAGGATTGTTGCACGCCACATTCTGCAGAATCAGTGGAGCCTAATACCTCTGTGACGATTTTCGTCACTTTTTTCAGGAACATTACTAGTTACTCACTTCACCGCAGTACACTACCATTCGGTTATTCCATTTCCATATAAAGCATTACTAACTCACACAGCCTTCAACGCTTGGCCACCATGTGAGCGAGCAGCTCAATAATGCAGTAGCAGTCTATGAACTAACTGACTCTCAAACGATATATGTGACCACACTGACCATACCAGACTGTGACTCTGGCTAGAATCTAAAAAGAAAAAAGGACCCGCCAGATAGTGGCTAAGGGCTAAGGTAAAGCTTTTTCCTTTTTACGGAAGAAGAAAAAAGGCGAAGCATTTCAGAGACTCTGCCTGTGTATTGTCAATCAAAGTATGATAAAAGGTAGAGAAGTAAAGTACCATTTTTTCTTCTTCCATTCATTCAAATGCAAATGATTGTAGCAACTCGGAAAAGCCGGGGGGGAATCCACGGATATGCTCCAAAGCAATGCGATGCTCTATCGTCTTCTCGATGGACTCCCATCTCAATTGGCACCTGGTGAAAAGGAGGAGGAGAATCTGTGTATGGTAATTCAAACAAATACCAAGTACTGTGATGATGAGCATGGCCAAGAAACAATATGCCACAGTTTGGCCAAACTTCTGCATTTCATGTTGAACATAATGGTTTCTTCTGACTGAGTACAAAGAATTCCAGACTCGGAAGGAATAGTAACCAGGTGAAATTGGGGAACTGAACAAGTTCTGGGAATCATAGAATGTACAGAGAGCCTGAATCCTTCAATACTAGAATGAACCAAGCGGCTAGCCTGCGCTCGAGTACACTTAATCTCGTGATGACATTGATGAGAACCTTTCCCAGTCACAGCATTGTTAAGCTGCAAAGCATTTTTTTTTCCAGTCATTCAAATGCAAATGATTGTAGCAACTCAGAAAAGCCGGGGAATCCCCCGATCTCACCATGCTGTGGGTTCAGATGATGGAAGTCTCTCCTTCGATTGTGCCACTTTCTCATCTTCTCAGATGATCCCGTCTCAATTGGCACCTGGGGAATCCTGTCCGGGTCAGTTGGTTAAGAAAGGAGGAGAGAATCTGTGCATGTACTGTGATGAGTATTGCCACGAAATATTATGCCACAGTTTGGCCAAACTTATACACAGTTCACGTTGAACATAATGGATTTTCTGACTGGATGAAATAGAACTACATGTCGAGAATGTACTTGTACAACGAATCCCCGCTCGGAAGGAATAGTAACCAGGTGAAATTAGGGAACTGAACCGAGTTCTGGGATCCTAGAATTTACAGAGAGCTTGAGTCCTTCAATACTACGGTGAACCAAATGGCTAGCCTGCACTCGAGTAGCTTAATTTCGTGATGACACTGATGAGATCTTTTCCCGGTCACAGCTTTGTTAAGCTGCACAGCAGCAATTTGGTCGATTTAGGAGGGGAAAAGTAGGCATATGACCAGAGTGTAGGTGGGGCGGGGGACTGTTCTAATTTCTGCCATCTACATCAAACCCAGCCCCAGTCCAGCCAGGTGATCTTTTGGGCACAGCACCAAGAACGCCCCTTCCTTTTCCGTGGACTTGAGCCTTCTTCTTAGCTCCTCCTGAAGCAGGGTGCTGTTGGTTTGACCCGTTAGGGACTTGGCTGTTCTGTTCTTGGTTCGCTGCTGCGTTTCCAGTGTTCTCGCCAGTACCTGGTGCTGTTGGTGGAGGAACTGAGGAAGCACCTGTTGCCGCGTTGTTCTGTGTTGGTCCCACTGGTTGTCCACTCTGAACAATATAAATTGCAAAGCAAAACCTGTAAGCGATCTCGTTTTGTACATTCTAAATTATTTAATTATGGGCTTCTTCACCTTAACTAAAGCGGTGCAAGATATAGTTTATTTGAATGGAGTGCAAGGAACTATGTTGAAGTCTTTAGTTATAGTTAGTGACCTGGTGTGCAATTATTAATGCAGTAGGTACGCTACATGATAAATTGCCCTTGCACTAGCTATCATAAGCTCACAAGAATGCAGAGATTAAATGATTTGGTCTCATATGGGGATCTTACATGAGGCGAAGCAGAAGATGCTCTGTTTGGATTTAAAGCTTCCAGTCGTCTTTTTAATTCCTCAAGTCTAGTAAACTGCGAGGAACTGCTCTCTTGGACCTGATAAGGCCAACACATAAGAAAGTGAGGAAGCAGATGATAAAGGAAACAACAAGACTCTTAATTTAACTGATATCCCTAGATCAAGATTCATACCAGTTGATTCAAGTCTTCACATAACTTCTGCTTCATTGATTCCTCGTCTTTCAAGGCCTGAACTGCTGCTTCCCATGCCTAAAAAAGAAAAAGATACATATGCCATTGTCAGTCACAAAACAGTATTACAAATCAGTTGGATTACAAAGTAACCTGCTTTAAGTATACAAATGGAATTGTAGAGGATGTAAGCTGAGGTGATTCATGAACTAAGGGGGCCAAACCTTCCGTGCTTGTTCTTCTTTCACCTTGGCTTGGTGAATCTTTTCACTTGAGATTTCGATTTTCTTCCTCAGATGCTCGAGTGCTTCAGTCATCAAGTGGGATTTCATCACAGTAATAGCAAAGTCAATACGAAATAAAACAGACACAAGAACAAGCAGAACCTGACAAATAATGAAACAGTGAACAGCAGTGACCAACCAGCTTTCTTAGGTCCAGCAGTTAGTTTCATCTCCATGGATAGATTTGCCAGCTCTCGCTCAACACCGAGCAGCATCGACCTGTTTTCTTCGATGTATCTGTAAGAAGAGTGTTGATGGTCAATCAATGGTGAATGATTACTATCATCCAGTGGAACACTAACGATCATCTTTGCTTGATCAGAGAGATGACAGACAAACTCAAGGTACTTTAACCTGTCGACTATGCTGGTCATCTGACCGCAGAACAGCACGAAAATTAAACAATGATCCTGATGACTGTCGCAAATTTCTCAAAGATCTTAACCTCTAGCCAGCAACTACGCCAATTTCGTTCAGAGCAAATGTAAACTCTAACTCTTAAGTCCCAACATTATCGACTACCAAGAAACAATGAGCACAGTGAACACTGAAGCAATCAAGATTTTCAACGCCTACTAGGAGCCCGAATTCAAGTTTGAAGTAGTGCATAGTAGTAGATCCAAAAATGAAACAGAATCGCTGACAGTATTGAAGAACTTACTTGTGCAATTGAAGCTGCTCTTGTGCAATTACCTGAAAACACACAATCAAACAAACCGCATTGGGAAAAGTCGAACAGTCAATGCAAAAAACCAAAACCATAAGGAGAGAGAGAGAGAGACTCAGAGAGGGATCAAACCTTCTCGGTGTAGGCGATGATCGGAGATTCTCTGGCGAGACCGTCGGGCCCGATCTCAGGCTTAAGGGAAGCATTCGATGCCATTTTCGCCAGAAAGAATGTGGAAATGGAAGAAGGAAGAAGTTCGGATCTCCGGCGCCGTGCAAATCAAGATCCCGCCACAGTCAGCCGCAATTGCGAACTTGTATCTACTCTCAGTTTGTTTATCGTCTCTCTAGTAGTCGGTGTCGGTCCGACGGCGCGATATCAGCCTTCTTCTCCCTCCTCTTCTTCTCTCCGTCGTTTCTGAGCTGGCTCCGATTCGCAAAATTATCTCGGGGGTTTCAGACGAAACAGTGGGCTTTAAGCCCATAACTCGGTTCAGTTAAAAAAACTGAACGACGTGGGCCTCGTCATATCCTTCGCCCATCGTTCTCGTGACTCGCATCAAGTCCATGTGCGAAGGGGACGTTGACAATTAGATTCGTGCACATGGTTGGAAAGTGCCGTGATTAATAACTTATTGGGCACGCAACTCCAAAGCCATTCGTGACGGGTAGCAAATAGTATTCAAATGGGAATGGATTTGGACCCGGTACTTAAAACAGGGAATATATATTAATGGTTGCCATGGCGTCTCGTAGATTAGGGCGATAGACGATTTCTCATGCGTTTTTTCTGACTTAAAAATCGATATTTGAGGTTTCGAAATGAATGTCCAATGACTCTTGTCCAGTAAGTGCTCGACTTGAAACTTCGTATAGAACTGACGTCCAAGCACCTACTTAGTGCGTTTGGATGTTCCCCCATGTCGCCGCCAATGCGTGGGTGATGCCACTGACATAGACTCATTTCGGGTCGTGACAGTGGGCATTGAATCCCTTCCGACTTAGGCCGATGATTCGCATATGCTAGGCCTACCGAGTTTGATATGGCCTATCGAGTTTGATATCACTACTTAGTCAACACAATCTAGCACACTTGATAGAGCAAATGCTCATCTCGACTCACTTGCAACCCAACTAATGACATAGTATACTTGAAAATAGGGGTTACACTTGTGTACTGTGCTAGTTCAATTTTATTGGTCAAGCTGTATACAAACGCCTTTACTAACAGAGAATTTTGCTCAAAACATGCAAGGTGAAATCAGCAACTCAAAAGTCAAGAAAAAGGATCAAACAAAACTTGTCATGGGTCTCTCAGCAAGCCAAACTTCAGGAAGAAACTTGCTTTATGAGTTTTAGGACGGCTTCCTTCGTGGGGAGGGCAGGAATTGCGCCTCTCTCTGTTACCGTCACAGCGCCACAGGCATTGGCGAAGTAGAGAGCTTCTTTTAACCTCTTTTCATCCTGAAGATAGACACACAGATAACAAACTACACAGTTCAGTACTGTTCCAAAAGGATATCTTTAGTACTGTTTTCTGTCTCGGTGTTCGATTAAAAATGTTACCTTGAGAATACTTGGATCTGAAGCTAGGCTGCTGAGGAGGCCGCCAACAAATGCATCACCTGCACCGGTTGTGTCAACAGGTTTGACTTTCACTCCAGGAACTCTGCCTTTGAACTCCTACATTGAACTCAGATAATGTAAATTTTTTCACAGGCTTCTCATCAGATCTAATGTACTTGCATTCAGCCTTATAGATTTTACCTTGGTGTAATATCTACAGCCATGTGATCCTTCAGTTACAACCAGAAGCTTCAGATTAGGATGAAAAAGCTTCTTTAGGACAACATTATCATCATGGGGATCATCACCTCCTGTTAAAAATACAATTTCATCCTCACTTATCTGTTCATTCAAAACACCAGTGTGAGTTCCAAGTAGGTTCAACACAATAAGCAGAATCTCATAGTTTCTCTAAGACTGCACCTTAATAACATCAGCCTGATCCCATATGCTCATGATTCCTTCCTTAGCAGCCTCTGCTGATGGCCATAACGCCAACCTCAGATTTGGATCGTACGAGAGAATTCCACCGGAAGTTTTGACAACTTTCAGTGCAGCGATGTGAGCTGATCTGCATGGTTCTGAGATCAAACTAATGGAACCATAGTGGAAGACTTTAGCCTGCAATTAGCATCATCCAGAAATGAACACCTTTCCCCCCAAGACTTATATTAAACTTAAAGCAGTTGGCTACAGATATTCTTATGGATGCGCAAAACCAGTACCCAAAAAAAAAAAGCGAATATACCTTCTTGAGGGTGTTTATCTCAAGCTCTGATTCCTTGAGTAGCATGTCTGCACTTGGATGTCGGAAAAACAAGAACTCGCGTTCTCCATCGGATCTAAGTGTAACGAATGCCAGTGCTGTCCTTGCATAGGCATCAAATCGCACTCCAGAGTTGTCAACACTATTTTGTTTCAAGATATCATCCAACATATGCCCAAATTCATCATCACCTAACTGAAATAGAAACAGAGGGTTTTTTAGTTCCAGCCAAGTCAGTTAATAACTAATTCATGGCAGCCATACACTGATGACTGAACTAGGGATATGCTGGCTAAGAAATTGAGCAAGAGGAAGTTTTGCTCTTCGTTTAACGTAAGTCTATTACTGAAGCCACATTTTCAACTGAACATAGAAGCTCCTACATTCAGACAGTGAATCACTTCCATATCAGGCCAAAAACCAAAATACAGAATCATTAATCGAACTGCCAGCATAAGATATAAACCTTGATCCATATGGCGTTCAAGTGCATAACTTGTTGGATAATGCTCATACAGCAAATTTATTAAATGAAGGTAAAGGTTGAAACTTTGAGATGGTGCATGCATGTGAAACTTAATGGACCTTCTGAGCAAGTAATTCATCAAATAGTACCACTATCTAGTAAAAGAAAAGGGATGGACCTAAATGACAACCCAAAACCCATTGAATTGCACCTTGCCTATAAAAGCTGAGGAACCGCCTAATCTCGACACACCAACAGCGACATTTGCAGGAGCCCCACCAGGAGCCTTCTTGAAAGCAGGAGCTTCAGCAAGTGAAACACCATTAACTGTTGGGACAAAGTCAATCAGCATCTCCCCAAAACATACAACCAGTGCTTTGCCATCTTGAGAATTTGATCCGGGATCTTTTGGTGTAGCTACAGAAAGAATTGAAATCACTGACATCAGAACAGATTTGCAAGCGACAGAATGTTCGATCAGTGACCATAACTGAATCGAAAATAACAGTTAATGCCCATTTCCAACCTTTCCAAAGGGGGTTAATGGGGATAAAAGTAAGATTCCTGAATTCTGCCCTTCTGAATTCTACTCATATTATTCTCATTTCCCACTTCCCCTTCTCAAACAATTCTTTGGCTTACCCCATATATGTTTGAGATTCAATTGGAGAATGTCATTGCGCAGTAGGAACAGTTGGAATGGAGATCAGAAAGGGGAAAACAGCATAGAAGATAGCACAAAGCAACGGTTCCATTATCAGACACTCGAGAATCAATATTCCTTAAGGAACTACAACAAGGGACAAACTTTTTCCAGAAAATTGATCCTTAGCATAACGCTACATTCATGCAACTCCTGCTATATGATTTGAACCTCTGAAAAGGATCAAGTAAAACCAGATCCCAGCAGGAACTAAACTAAGAGCCCCATCTCAAGCAACTAACGGTTCGAAGCTGTAAATAAGCTCCGGAGAGCAAACCCAGATGCGAAATTGAAGTAACCATGGTGGCAAAGCTAAAGGCATAATCAAGTAGAAGAAACAGACCTGGGGCGCGATTCTGGGCCATATCTAGGGATTGAACTGTGAGTGAGAGAAGGAAGGATCGGATCTTGAACCAATGGAACGAGGAGGAGGAAAAAATATGTTAAAACTTAAAAGGTTTTTGTCGCGGGACAGAACTCGGAAGCGACGGTTGCAAGGTTTTCTGCTGTCTTAATTGCAAGAATGAAAACCCTTCACGGAAACTAATAAAAAAGGTCACATCGGGGAAGGGAAAAAAAGGAAGAAGTGCAACCTTTGAAATAGACTAATCACATTAGTTGTTCATGGTTCAGCGGTTAACTGATATAGAATTATTAATTAACTGTTGATAGATTCGTTCATGCATTAGAAAATAAAAGGTATCTAATATATAAATTTATGACTGAATTGATCACTCTAACCATAAACCATTCCAAATTCATATAATCTATCACCATATGTTCTAACAAATCATTCAAACTATATCACGAAAGAAAGCATACTTTTCTATTTCAAGTTATTAATTAGACTAGCAATCCATAGTGGACAGCAATCAAAGTGTTTTCTCTTAATTTTTTTAAGTTAAAATAGTCAACCAGTAAAACCAGAGTGGTTCAACTGGTTTCATGTATAACCGTAAAAAACTGTTCGGTCCATCGCAAAACGTGCAAGCTAAAGAACTAGATCGCTATTGTAAATGGTTTGATGGTTTTACTAGTCCAGCCACTGATCCAATTCGGTTCTTATAACAATGGACTGATTACCGACTCCTAGTAGCCACCGTAACCACCACACACAAGTTGGGTATTTAAAAAGTAGTATTTATTAATGACCTTTTTATTAAAATAAAATTTGTAAAGTTACATATACCTATTAAAATTTTCTCTCCCAATTAGCTCTCTCTCCCTCTCCCTCTCCCTCTCCCTCTCCCTTCATTAGTTCTGCACCCCTTTTCTATTCTCCGACCACATCTCTGCCAACTTCTCAATTCTTCTCTGTCTATGTGTAGACGAACCAATACTACCGCAAAAATAGAGCAAATAATCACTACCAAATCATAAAAGAACACTAACCAAAAAGAATAATATTACACAAAAGTCAATACTGTTACAATATTAACCAATACCAGTACAAACTTAATCTATACTATTGTAGATTTGATTAATACTAATACATGAAAATCAATACCAACATGATAAGATATTACCAACACAATAAAATTAATACAAAAAAGTAATACCATTACATAAAAATCAATACAAATAGGGAAAAAGTACCAATACAAGGCAAAACTGCCATTATGAAAAGCTATACTAGTACAAGAATCAAGCCAAGTTTGCTGCTGCCCCATTTTTTCCTTCTGCCTTCTGGGCCTAGTTTGCTGCATTTTGGGTCGGCCCATGCTGCCTCAATTTGGTGATGCCGAGAGATAGGAGAGACGGAACCCCTAGGTTTCCACTTTCCTCCCTCAACTCTCAAGGCTCAAGCTATCTGCCATCCCCTCTTCTTCTTCTATCTTCTTCGTCGACATTGGCCGTCGTTGCCACTACTGCCCGCTTGCTCATTGTTGGAGTGCGTAGACCATAAAGACAGCAGGTAGAGTCTCCGGTTTCGTCGAGAGGAGCAGGTGGACTCAAGGAGGCTAGGTTTCGCCGTGAGAAGTAGGAGAAGTCAAGGAGGGATGATTCGGATCTGATTTGGCTGCGGAGGAAGTCATCAGATTTGTCTTCTCCATAATCTTCACCCTCCCCAGATTCTCCGGCAGAGGAGGAAGATTGGACGAGTAGCGGCAGATCTGTTGGAGGCTGCCGAGAAAGCCATCAAATTCAACTTTTCTGAATCTTCACCCTCTCCAGATTCACCGAGGAGGAACATTTGACCAGTGACGGCAGATGTTGTTGGATGCCGCCAAGGAGGTCGTCGGAGCTGGATGGCCAATGAGGGACAATGTTGAGGTAATTCGATTTGTCGAAATTCGGGTTCGGGTTCGCAGACCCTGTATTCCGAACTATGGCCTTTTGTATTCCGAATTTCGAACCGAAGAGTAATAATTCGGTTTGGTTCGGTTGTATTCGGGTTCGATTTGGTTCGGGTTTACCGAACCATATGCCCACCCCTAGTTTGAAGGCAAGGCCTACCAATGCTAGAGGGGAGGAATTTTTTTTTTAGTTTATGAAGGTCTGGGGTGATAACTGATATATACGAAAAGTCATATTTTAAGGAGAGTAATGAAATGCCGTTATTTTTTTTTTTTCTTTCAAAACTACTCTTAATCAATCACGACGGTCAGCATAAAAATTATGAGAACTGAGATATAAGTTGTCACGATGACTATCACTTTATTAGTAGCCACCTTACAAATAAAAAGGGATTGCATGAGTACGTACACCATATGAGTGCGAATGCTAGAACTTAACGAGATTAGTTTTAGTTGCCATATTACATGAAGATTCGTGTACAAACATGTCTCAACTAATAAAGGCCCTTAAATGTCAACCACAACATATTATTCACATAGTACATATGATTCATTACTGCATTCATGGGATAACACATATATCCATCATATTGTGCTTATTATCGGTTTCCGGGACGGGTTAGCATGCTAACCCTTTAAGGGGTTGGTTTTTTGACACTCCCTTTTAATTGGTCAATTTTTCATTAATTATTGACAAGTATTAATGAAAGTAAACATAATAAATGTTCTGTTATTAAATACAAAGTAAGCATTAAATACACCACATTAATTACCACTTTATTGGTATTTGTACCACTGCACTGATACTCAGATATGACATTGCTACCAGTGCACTGATATCGCTACCAGTGCAGTGGTATATATACCAGTACAGTGGTACAACGTATCAGTGCAGTGGTATATCTACCAGTACAGTGGTACAACGTATCAGTGCAGTGGTATATCTACCAGTACAGTGGTACACCGTATCAGTGCAGTGGTATATTTTTTGGAGGTGGTCGGAGGGAGTCTGCCGATGGGATTTTCACCGGAGAAGTGTGGCGGTCGGAGGAAGTCTGGTGGTCGGAGACTGCTGGAAAAGGAAAAATAAAATATAGTGAAAGAATTCCTAATGTGTATTTAATGTGTGTATTTAATTTCTAATGTGTATTTAATAGTGAGAGAATTCCTAATTAATATGGTACATTTAATTCCTAATATGTATTTAATGTGTGTATTAAATTCTATAGTTGTATTTAATATACTAGGGGGTGTATTTTTCCAACCCCTAAGGGGTTAGCATGCTAACCGACCCCTCGGTTTCCTCATATAAACATTACTTACAGGAACCTTAATTATTCAATTAACAGTTTTATATATATATGGTTCATCGTCTTTTCAGTTTCCCATATCTAGCTAGGTTTAACATTAATATATGGACCAAGACTCCAAGAGAGCTTGGCCTAGCTGCATATATGCGCGCCACGTCTGCTTACTGCTATAATTTAATCATTATATATCCATCAAATGAAAGACGCCAAGCATGTTCCTGTGGTTGCATCCGCCAGCTACAGCAGCTGCATGCTTCCTTCTCATCAGCAGCAACCGGAGCCACCTGAGATCACATTTTCTCACAAGAGATTAGCAAAGAAAAAAAGCTTAAACCATGATCATGAAGAAGGGATTGTAGATACATATATAGCTAGTGGGAAAGTGACAAATTAGTACCAGGAGCTGCTGCATATGCTGCTGTTGGTGGATGTACCATTCTGTGCTTGTTTTTGGCTATCTTGCTCTTCCTGGTAGGTCCAACAACTCCTCCTCCTCCTCCTCCTCCATGATCATGATGATGATCACCTCCACCAACTGATTGATGACATTGCCTTTCCTTTAGCTGCAACAACACATTAATGCACCATCCATCAAACAAGCTACCTTTTAGGCTCAACTACCAGAACCCTCTCCCAACAGTCCATGAGCCCACCACAATGAGACCTTGATTGGGGGAAAGAAGAATCACAGACCTCAATCTGCAGCTGTTTATTCTCTTCGCCAAGATCATGCTCCTACAAGTTCGGCAAAATAATCCCGGGAAACAAGGAAAGAGAGGTTACAACATAAATGGGCAAAACTCATCCCTTTAAAATGGATTCAAACACGGTGGAAAGCTTAGCAAGCCTTTTACCATTTTCCGCAGGTCTTCCAGCCTTTGCAACAGCACTTGTGTCTGCACAATAAGAACGTTCAAAAAAAGAAGATCATCAATGACTCAAATTAAAGCATATATATGTGTATGACTTTTCCTTTCTCCTTTCTCATTTTTACCTTTTTTTGCCTAGCTCGGGAGAGAGCCCTGTCCAGCTTCCTCTCGATCTTGAGCAACTCTTTCACCCCCAGGGTTCCAATATCCTCTCCATGGAAATGCCTTGAAGCATTATAACCAACACATCAGCAACTATATGTATCTGTAGATCAGACACTAATGGAGAGTAGAGGACATATACATATATACCTATGAGAACGTTGCAGTGATTCACATTTCTCGTTCAACTTGGCAACCTCTACGCACAAGTTCTGCACCGATTACCAACCCAAACTTCAACCAAAACAACATCCCAACAACCGAACTGAACTCGTCTGAAAGGAAGGAGAAGAAGATTGGAGGTGGAACCTGTAAGGATGTTCCGGTGTCATCAGCAGCAGAAGGGTTGCCCAGTACTTCAGCATTGTTGTTGTAGTTGCACTGCCTGTATCGCACAAGGGTTTTGCTCACCCTGGAAAAAAAATCATCTAGTTAGTCAGACAGATCAGAAAGGAACTGGGTCTGGAAAATTGAATCACTCTAAAGAAATGGGGTGAAATGGCCATACTCCTGTTCACACAGAAAAGCAGTATAGCTAGTACTTTAGTTTCTGACTACTGATAAGAACAAACACCGCAATCCTCCATCACTGCGATCTCTCTCTCGTCTAGGCGGTCATTTACTCATTAGCTTATTGGACCAGGAATCACTTCAGCCCAAGCAACCTTCGGCCCATGCAGTCCACGTAGAGGACACGGCTGTATCAGAAGGGAACCAGAATATTCCATCTATTCCTTCTCCTCTACGTTGCTGTAAACCTATGTATGCCCTAGGAGACTTTGCTGTAACAGGGCATATAAATACATGTATGGCCAGCGGCCAAACTATGAAACAATAAAAAGAAAACTCTTCTACAGTGGACGTAAGCCTCACCAACGTGAGGAAGAACCACTATAAACCAAGTGTCTTCTTCTCTACTTCACAATTCTTCATGGTATCAGAGCTGTAAAGCTCCAGTTTTTTTTCACATAATTCTCGACCGCCATGGGTCCTGGCGGCGACGACGTCAAGAACAAAGGAGTCTCTTCCAGCAAATCCGACGATGAACTTCCGTCGGTTCTACAGCTGCACAACTCCGATAGTCCTGGCAACATGCTTGTGGGCGAGATTCTGACCGCGTCTAACTACGGAGAATGGTCTCTGGACATGAAAGATGCGCTGATCGCGAAGGACAAATATTGCTTCGTGGATGGAACCCTACCCAAACCGACCGATCCTCGAGAGCTTGGAGCTTGGACGCGTTGTGACGCGATGGTCAAAGGGTGGTTGAAAACATCAATGGATAAGGAGATTCGCGGGAGTATTCGCTTTGCTGAACACGCAAGCGAAATATGGACGGATCTTCGTGAACGTTTTGGTCAAGGAAGCGCGTCTCGCGCCTACGAATTGCGGCGATTGATCAGCCTTCTCCAGCAGGAGAAGCATACTGTTTCGGCTTTCTACACGAGTTTGAGGTCCTTCTGGGAGGAGGCAGCTGCCATTACCCCGCCGCCAATCTGTACGTGCGGCAACTGCACATGCGACGTTTCCAGGAGAGTCCGAGCGCAGCAAGAAAATGCCCGGCTGTTTGACTTCCTAATGGGGTTGGACGACGCGTTTGGGCCGGTGCGCACCCAAATTCTTGCCATGCGTCCCATCCCTACACTTGTTGAGGCCTTTCGGATTGTTCTTAACGAGGAACAACAAAAGACCATTACCCAAAATCGACGGACACCTCCTGAAGCGGCAGCCTTTGCGGCAAAGGGTGACACAGGCAAAGGGCAGCGCGGAGCTGGTGACCAGCGCGGCACGGGGGAGCAGCGTGGTGCCGGGGAGCAGCAAGAGCGACCGCGCTGCACGCACTGTCATCGCCTGGGACATCAACGGGATGCGTGCTATGAGCTGATTGGGTATCCACCTGGGTACTTCACAAGAGAACGCCAAGGAGCTCGGCCGCAGAGGAGGCGTAATCGTGACTCGGGAGAAAATACACAGCGAGAGCGCGAGCCCAAGGCATCACAGGTCGAGGCAGAAGCAAGTCCTGTTGCTGGTTTTACTAGTGCACAGCTAGATCAACTAAAGCAATACTTTGGTTATACGGGAAAGGCCGCAGACGATCCTGCAGCTCACATGGCAGGTATGATTTCTTATGATTCTGAATGGCTACTTGATTCTGGATGCAATGAACATATTACCATGGATGAATCCATGTTATCTAGTAAAGAGCTGCATGTTAATGGGCAACCGGTTCGTATTCCCAACGGTGATAGCATTCCTGTTAAGCATGTGGGTTCAGTTACTTTGCAGAAGGGTCTTACTCTGGGAAGAGTGCTACACGTTCCTGAATTTCGTTGTAACCTCATCTCTGTGAGTAGACTGACGAAGGATAACCGTGTGGCTTTGATTTTTCTTGAAAATTTCTGCGTTATTCAGGACTTACTTTCCAAGAAGTTGATTGGGAAGGGTGAGCTCCGAGATGGGTTGTACTACTTGCGTTTATTTGGAGCGGAACAGGCGCAGGCATGTGCAGCACAGCGGCGATCTACAGTTTCAGAAGCCATTTGGCATGCCCGTCTGGGGCATCCTTCGTTTGATAAACTTTCATCTTTTAGTACTTTGTTGGGAATGTCTTTCAAAAATAATGGGATTTGCCATCCTTGTTTGAGAGCTAAGCAAACCAGAGAACCTTTTCCGTCCAGTGAAATAAGGACGCGATCTAAGTTCGAATTAATTCATGTTGATATTTGGGGAGCATATAAGGTTGCATCTCTCAGTGGTGCACATTATTTTCTGACGATAGTTGATGATTATACTCGTGGAGTTTGGGTATATCTTTTGCGTTATAAATCTGACGTTGGTCGATCTCTCTTGCAATTTTGTCACATGGTTCGCACGCAGTTTGGATGTTCTGTTCAGCGCATTCAGGCAGACAATGGGCGAGAGTTCAATACAGATGAACTTCGAGATTATTATTCACGTGAAGGTGTGCTTCTTCAAACCTCCTGCACCGATACACCTCAGCAGAATGGTGTAGTTGAAAGAAAGCATCGTCATATTCTTGAAACCGCGCGTGCTTTGCGATTTCAAGCCAGTTTACCAGTCCGGTTTTGGGGTGAGTGCGTCCTAACAGCGGTATATCTCATCAACCGTCTTCCGACTAGGGCAACAGGCAAAAGTCCCCATGAAATGCTTTTTGGGAAGTTAGCACCTTATAACCATCTTCGTGTTTTTGGGTGTTTGGTCTATTACAAAGATACTCGTGCTCATCTTGACAAATTCGCTGAGAGAGGTCGAGCAGGGATATTTTTGGGCTATGCTACCACCCAAAAGGGCTACCGTATTTTCGATTTAGCATCTCAGAAAATGCTAACCTCACGTGATGTTCAATTCCGTGAAGATGTTTTTCCCATGCAGGAAGGAGCTCGGCAGGAGCTGCACTGGATCCCGCGGCCATCCGATCAGCCCGTGAGTGACCAGCCCGATGACTCTCCTGTCCCTCTTCCTGGCCCAGGGCCTACAGGGCATTCGTCCACTCCTGGGCCTTCTTCCCGCCTGGACTCGGAGCCCAACCGCGAGCCCACTTCACCAGCGCTTCATTCGCCCGCATCTGGTCACCAACGCGGAGGCTCTGGGCCGGATCCAGTGTCGCCAGGCCTACTGGACACCTCGGCCGAGCCCACTTCAGCCCGTTCGCCTGGTATGCAGGCGAGTTTGGACCAGCCCTCACCAGCGGCCACTTCACCGACCCGACCGGCCCAGCCCACATCAGCTGCCCCAGCTCCTGTGCGAAGGAGTGACCGAGTTCGCAGTCGGCCCAAGCACCTGGAAAATTACATCACCTCATTCAATAATGAGGAAGCACAGGGAAGCACCTCTAATCTCACTTATTATCCACTTGCTGCATACGTCGATTACTCAGGATTCAAAGGAACTTACCTCTCATTTCTTGCAGCTCAAACTCGCCTGGATGAACCTCGATTCTTCTATCAAGCTGTCCGGGAAGCTTGTTGGCGCGAGGCCATGGCGCGCGAAGTTGCTGCCCTTGAGAAGAACGGTACATGGAGCCTTGTCTTTCTTCCTCCTGGGAAACGTACTATCGACTGCAAGTGGGTTTACAAAATCAAGTTTTTCCCCGACGGAACCATTGAACGCTACAAAGCACGTCTTGTAGCGAAGGGGTACACGCAGATTGAGGGTCAAGACTTTCACGACACGTTCGCACCTGTTGCTAAGCTCGTAACAGTTCGCTGCCTCATTGCCGTTGCAGTCAGTCGTGGTTGGCATCTTCATCAATTGGATGTCAACAATGCTTTCCTCCATGGTGACCTCGATGAGGAAGTTTATATGGAAGTTCCAGAAGGATTTCGCAAGCCAGGTGATACGCGAGTGTGCCGTCTACACAAGTCCATTTATGGTCTTCGACAGGCGTCCCGTAATTGGTACCAGAAATTCACCTCAGCACTTTGTGAGTTCGGTTTTCATGCGTCCCCTGCGGATGCCTCACTATTCATCTATAACCGTGGTGATATTTTTGTCACGGCATTGATCTACGTCGATGATGTCATTTTAGCGGGCAATGACTTGGTCTTCATACAGCGGGTAAAGAAGTTCCTCGACAATCGTTTTAGCATCAAGGATCTTGGTCAGCTTCGATATTTCTTGGGGATAGAGTTAGCGCGCATAGCTACGGGGGTGGTTCTTAGCCAGCGGAAATATGTTCTTGATATTCTTGAGGATGCTGGTGTTCAAGGATCTCGCCCCAGTGCGTTTCCCATCGAACAGAACCACCACTTGACACGAGTGGAGAGTGATCCACTACCTGATCCTACCATTTATCGTCGTTTGGTGGGTCGTCTTCTTTACCTGACAATTACACGTCCCGACATCACCTACGCAGTCAATCTATTGAGCCAGTTTGTTCATGCACCTACTCAACAGCATCTCGATGCTGTGTTCCGGATATTGCGCTACCTCAAATCTTCCCCAGGTCAGGGTTTGTTCTTTCCAAAAGATAACCCTTTGCGTCTTACTGCTTACTGTGATGCAGATTGGGGTGGCTGTGAATTTACACGTCGCTCGACCACTGGCTATTTCATCAGTCTTGGTGGGGCACCCATTTCCTGGCGGACAAAGAAACAGCGGGTTGTGGCACGTTCCTCCGCTGAAGCTGAATATCGTGCAATGGCTAGCACGGTTAGTGAGCTGATCTGGCTTCGTTGGTTACTCCAAGAGCTTGGTGTTCCGCAGACGACTCCCACACCACTTCACTGCGACAACCAAGCTGCACTGCACATCGCCAACAACCCAGTTTTCCATGAACGCACCAAACATGTGGAAATGGATTGTTACTTTGTCCGCGAAAGAACACAGTCTGGTGACATCCGACCCGTCAAGGTACCTGGTGACCTGCAGTTGGCGGATATATTTACGAAGGGGCTTGGTGCTGATCGCTTTCATTTCTTACTTTCCAAGCTGAACGTTCGAGATCTGCACGTGTCAGCTTGCGGGGGAGTATTGGACCAGGAATCACTTCAGCCCAAGCAACCTTCGGCCCATGCAGTCCACGTAGAGGACACGGCTGTATCAGAAGGGAACCAGAATATTCCATCTATTCCTTCTCCTCTACGTTGCTGTAAACCTATGTATGCCCTAGGAGACTTTGCTGTAACAGGGCATATAAATACATGTATGGCCAGCGGCCAAACTATGAAACAATAAAAAGAAAACTCTTCTACAGTGGACGTAAGCCTCACCAACGTGAGGAAGAACCACTATAAACCAAGTGTCTTCTTCTCTACTTCACAATTCTTCATAGCTAGATGTTGGGAATTGGGGTTAGGGGAAAAGGAGAGAAACTAAACCAATTAAAAGGAAAAAAAAAAAGGGGGGGAAAAAGCAAAAACGTGTCAAGAACCCATTGCTGGGATTCCTCTGTGTCACTGTTCCTGCTTCGCCATTCCGCCTCTCCGGCCCAGCTCCCATCTCATCAATCAGTCCTGATCTCTCTGCATCTGTCCTATTTCATTAATTAGAAAGGCATACGGTACGTGTACGTACCCAGAGGAGCCGAACTCGGAGAGCTTGCCGCAGCTGGAGAAGACGATGAGGGCGACCTCGGCGTCACAGAGAACAGAGAGCTCAGTGGCCTTCTTCAACAGCCCATTCCTTCGCTTGGAGAAAGTCACCTGTCGATTCACCCTGTTCTCGATCCGCTTCAGCACCACTTTCCCTCGACCCATTTCTCTATCGACAACGACATCAATCTCATTTCCTTTGTTGTTGTTATATAGAGAGAAAACAAAAAAAACCCTAGCTATATCGAAATCTAGCTCTAATTATGAATATATTGACTCCTCCACTTGATGAAGAAGAAGAAGAAGTACCCTTTCTTCTCTCGGCCGGTCTTCTCCCCCCTTTTCTTTTGTTCGAACGCAAAACCATTATTAATTGGTGTACTGTACTTCCAACGCTACTTGATTATTCGATTTTAGGGTTTCCCGTTTCCCCCAAATTCATGAAACTATTAAGGACAAATTACAACAGTATTTTTATCGATTTCAATACTTACCATTCAAGGTGTTGTCTAGACTTTCTTTAATTTACAATTTTTTCCCGTAAGATATTTGCTTAAGTTTTTACGTAGTGTTTTAAACATTACGAAAGACTTATCTAATTTGATACACATACAAAATAGCTATACATACAGAAGTTTTACGTAACTGTTATAGAATGATGGTATATATATGTAAATCAATCGTAATGTGGTGTCTAATAATTAAACCTATGTGCGCATAAAATATCACATTTTGATTAACAGTTTAGTTAATAATAATTATAATAATAATAATAATAATAAATTCGTTCAAAGTTAAACAGCTAAGTTACGTTCCTGGGGTTCCTACAAGCGTGAATTTTTTTTTTAACAAATCAACACAACTTTTCATATATTATTATAATACTGTATAACATGTCATATGAATTGCTAATAACGACCATCGGATCAATTATACTCATCTCAGTGAAAGTTACGTGGCTTACAAAGGAGCTAAAATTAAGTGGATGCCACCGAATGCTTAAAATTGTACATCTCAAAACCTCAACCTAATTATCGTAAGAAAGACAAGTTATTTATAACCTAATTTTCACTATACAATTGTAGGTATAAACTGGATATAAAATTAACGACACAAATCTGTAAAAGTTGGCTTCACCCTAATGCCTTGCCAGTGTCAGTATGGAATCGATTTCTTCTAGTACCCAGCAGATCTCCAGACCTAAATCCAGCAGATAACTACCATCGATCATTGCAATTTTCATGTACGGTATTATTATAACCTTACCAGAAAGGCAGATGTACAGTGTTATAAAGACAATTGCTAGCTAGCTATAGTAGTAAAAGTCCGTAAAGTCGTAAACAGAGTTCGAAACCCTATTCCATGGCAATTACATCCCTAATAGTGTCAATTTAAATTCGGCATCTGTTGGTCGACGTACGTTCATGGTTACTGTTGTATTCTTTCTTTCTTTCACTGGCATGGCTAGCCACATAGAGAAAATGAGAGAAGAAGCTAGCTGTGCTGACACGTGCCATGAAGGGTACGCTATGAGTTGGGTGGTGGGGTTGGGGTTAGGTTAGGGTTAGTGATGACATTAGAAACCCAAACTCATGGGTACCCAACATGATCCAATTCAGTTAAAGTGGATTAGATTCGGTATTGACGGGTTGAGTTAGTTTTGGGTTTTGTCAAAATTCAATGCGCTTTCCACCCGATCCGGAAAAAACTTCGTTTGTATATAAAATGAGCAATATTCATAATTTGTTTATGTTATTACTTATTAGGTTGGATATCGGTATAAAAAAAATAGTATGAATGATTTGTGGATGTTATTATCTTTATAGATATATATTTGTTAACGAACAAACCACTTGGTCTCAATAACTAGAGTTGTTTGGAAAATGGTTTATTAGGTTTTTTTTTTAATCTCATACGCCCTCTCAAACGAAGCTGCAACTTATGTGTTTTTTTACAGTTTGCTCAGGTTGGTCATATCATCTCTTGTGCTAAACCATTGTGTTAAATAGGGTTCGCCATAAGATTCAAAACCATGACCTCCCGGTCGAAGGCTCTGATACCATGTTAACAAACAAACCACTTGATCCCAATAACTCGAATTGTTTGAAAATGGTTTGTTAAGTTTTTTTTTATCTCTTATAATATTTGTAGGAAAATTTTGGATGTTAATACTTAATACGATATATTTGGTTGAAGAAATAATGTGTAGTTATACTCGTGAATTATGAAAACACATGCATTCATGAGTACCCATTTAGTGAATATTTTACTGAATTTTTTTAATGGGTACACCTACTAGGTTGAGTTAAGGTTCGGAAAATCCGAACCCATGGGTACCCTATCCAATCTAACCCGATCAACGCGAGTGAAGCTCGTGTTATTGGGTTCGGGTTTAAACCCGTTACACTGTTCACCGCGTTGGGGTTGGGTTTAGAGATACCTGACCCGTGGATACGCCCACACTTATTCTCTCACCCTACTCTCCTCAAACCCTAAACTAATTCTAATTTTTCCCAATCTAACTCTCACGACACTCACAACTCACATGTCACCTCCCCAGTCCCCACTCTGCTCTCTCCCCAAAACCCCTCTCCTTCCCGGTCCGACCCCAATCCTTCCCTACTTCTCCTAGAAAGTTGACTGCATGTTTTATTTCTTACCAGCAAGGTATTGTTCCCTTTTTCCAAAAGAAGTGAGAGAGATAAATTAATAATTAAATTTGAACACACCATGTTTGTTGGTTTGTTGCTCTCTTACAAACAAAAAGGGGATGAACAAAAAATTAAAAATTGTATGTTGAATTCCTAGAAGTTGAACACACCATACTTGAATTTTCTACATTAGTGTTGGTCACTGGCCGTTAGTCTCCGTTAATTTTTGCTGATGTGGCGGTCAACTCTAATAGTTGACCGTTAAATAAGTGACGTGACAATTTAATTTTTTTTAATAATTTCCACCTCATTATAATAATAAATTAAAATCAATAAAACATAAAATTAACAATTGTAATAATCGAAAGTGCAAAAGCAGAGGAGTACTTCAGAATCTTGGTTATGGGATTGACGGCTCGTCGGATGATGGAATCACCGATGGCGACGTTGAGCAGGGGAAGGCCCTGACCGGCGGAGGGTTGAGCAGGCAGCAGGTGAGGGACGTAACTCGGATGGTGGTTACTCAAGCGGCGGTGAACAGAGACGACGACGACTGGGCGGGGAGGGATGGGGGCTCCCTACCTCACAGGATTCTCGAAATCGACGAACCGTCTCGGACCCTAAACGTTCTCCGAAGCGACTACAGGGGAATCCTCTGCTCCGTCGATGACCCCGGGAACACCACCGTGGACCCGGGTCCCTTCGATTTCGCGCCGGACACTCAGTTCGTCGCGGTGTATCGTGATTGCCCGTCGCCGACGTACGAGACTCAGTTCCCGATGAGCTTGGGCGAGCTCAGTTGTGGCCGCGATAGGGCAGGGGGTTACTGCCTGTTGAGCGCAGATCACGTCGGGGTATTCGAGGGTTCCGTCAGGAAGTTGTTGGGATCGTGCAGCAGCAAAGTTTTGGTCCCTGTAAATCGAACGAAGCTCGTACCTTTGCTTCCACCATCTCTGCCCCAACTCCATTGATTATTTTTATTTATTTATTTTTAATTCTTTTGATAATTATAAATTTATAATTAGGTGGAATGAGAAGACCAAGATAGGGATGGAGATAATTAGGTTTTATTTTTTATTTTTAATAATTTTGATAATGAGGTGCAAAATAAAAATAGTTAATTTTTTTTTAAATTGCCACGTCACTCATTTAACAGTCAACTATTAGAGTTGATCGCCACATCTGCAAAAGTTAACGGAGACTAACGGCTAGTGACCAAACTTGGATGGTTAACCTAATTTAAGTGACTACGGATGGAATAAAGTAATTCTAGTGGCTAACGTGAATTTTATTAGTAATTCAGGTGACCAAACTTGCAATTTAGCCGATAATTTGTGATTTGTTTGAATTTTATAGACTAGTGTTTTATGTATGGATAATTTGTATGAGAAAATTTATGTTTAACTTTTATTTTGATAAAAAAAATTTATTGTAAATTTTTTATCACAAAAACTCATGAGTACCCATGAACCCGCGGATAGCCAATAGATTGAGTTGAATTGGATTTAACTTTTACAAACCCAATATATTTTACCCTGAATTTTTTTGACGAATAAACTAGGGATGGCAACAAAACCCGAACCCACGGGTACCCACCCGACCCAACCCGGTCAACGCGGGTAAAATCCGTGTTGATGGGTTTTGGGCCGGGTTTGGGTTTAAACCCGTTCACTATTCACCGGGTTGGGTTGGGTTTGGGTTTAGGTAAACCCGGCCCGTGGGTACCCGCCCACCCATATAATTATTTTTTTTGGTATATTTAATATTCTAAACAACTATTCTTATTTATGTTTGTGGAGACATGTCTAATTTTTTCTTTTTAATTGTGTAGAATGAAGTTGATGTTATGGAGTGGAGAGTAAAGAAACTTAATTGAAAGAAAGAAGCTTTCAATTAAACATGTTATTTATGGCTAATTTGTGATTTGCTTCAATTTTCTTGAGTTTTCTAGATTGGTGTTGAACAATTTGTATAGTTAATTTGTGATTTGCTTGAATTTTCTAGAATGGTGTTTTATATATGGATAATTTGTATTGAGAGATTGATATTTGACTTTAATTTGTGATTTGCTTCAATTTTCTTGAGTTTTCTAGATTGGTGTTGAACCATTTGTATAGTTAATTTGTGATTTGCTTGAATTTTTTAGAATGGTGTTTTATATATGGATAATTTGTATTGAGAGATTGATATTTGACTTTAATTTTGATAAGAACTTGTAATTGTAAATTTTTTACGACAAAACCCGTGGGTACCCATGAACCCGCGGATACCCAACGGGTTGGGTTGGGTTTGAGTTTTTCAAACCCAGTGGGTTTTACCCCGGGTTTTTTTCAAAGATAAACCCATGGGTTTGGGTTCGGGTTTGGCAAAACCCGACCCAACCCGACCCATTGCCATCCCTAGAATAAACCCATACATTTGACTTTAGGTTTGACAAAACCTGACCCAATCCGTCCGATTGCCATCCATACCTTCTTCGTCACTCCACTAAACTAAACTGCTTGTGGAGTTTTTGTCTTTTTTACCCCCAACTCTTTTGCTTTTCCGATCCAACACTCACGTGCACAGTACACTCTACCCTCAACCTGAGTACTGTACAGCTACCCACGTGTCGCTCTCTGGGCTCTCGGTTCATAATAACGAACTGGACACGTTTCGGCCGCCATCACCCCCGTTTTCCTTGGGCTTCTCCCCGCCCACAACATATGACCTCTCCGAGTATCGCTGCGCTGGGCTGGGCCGACTTTGTAAACTAGGGCCCGACTTCAAATCAAGCCCTGCTCTAGTCATCTTTTCTGAAAAACTCGAAAAAGCCGTTTGAAATGTTCCTCAATCCTCATTGTCTGTAGTTTACTGGAAATCAATCAAAATTTAGTAATTTATCGGTATTTTAAATTTTTAATTAAGTAAATGCCAGAGTAAAAGTGTAAAACGAACTCGTACAAATTTCACGGCGGAGCACATGCTTTGATTATTTTTTTTTCCCCTTCTCCCTATAGCCAGAATCGGGAAGCGCGGGGAGAAATGGGAAGCCACATGACTACGAGATAAAGCTTATTTTGGAAGGTTACTTAGCCCAACATGTGGCGGCCACTCGTGAACGGTTCTTGATTTCCACAGTCCTTATGGTCTGCTGTTGATTGAAGAGAGTGACTCGATACTGATCTCTTCTTTGTTTACTCGCACTGATCGCTGATCATTGTTCCGCGATCAAGGCAATGGCGCCTTCTCTTTGTTGCTCGAGAGTGGAGAATGTCTTCTCCTCCGGCATATTCAAGCTTAAGAAGCAGCAATCCTGTGTTGCTGCTGCTAATGCCCGGAATGGCAGCATCGCGTTGCTTTCTTCTTCTTCTCCGTCTTCCAGAATCTCTCTTTCTGGAGCTTCATTTTACCATTCCACCTCGCGGCCTCGTTCGTTGTCTGTGAGAGCGGCGTCTCCGTCTTCTCCAGCCGCCGTCGCGGAACCGGAAGGAATCAAGGTCCGTTCGGTTGTAATTTCCCTTTCTCTGTGTTTCGCTCCTATCACATTTTGTCTCTTCTTCACTTCACATCGTGGTGGTATTGTTGTGCAGATTAATTCGGTGCCGACGAAGCCGATTGAAGGTCAAAAGACGGGGACTAGCGGTCTTCGTAAGAAGGTAGCTTCCGGTTATCGCTGCCTTGCGTTTTCCATTTTTTTCAATTCAGTCCTAAGTGAGTGAGTGAATTTCGTAGGTGAAAGTGTTCAAGGAAGAGAATTACCTAGCCAATTGGATTCAGGTGAGATTCTTTAATGTGGTGTATGGATTTTCATTTTTCCAAGGAGATGATCTTTTGTAGAACTAAGTTGGTCGGGTCTTGTGTTAATCGACATTTGTAGGCATTGTTCAATTCATTGCCGCCGGAGGATTACAAGAATGGATTACTGGTACTAGGAGGGGATGGTCGTTACTTCAACATAGAAGCTGCACAGGTCAATACTTCGTTACTTCCCAGCCCAGCTAAGTTTACTTGGTAGCATTAGCACGATTACATGGTTTCGTATTTTGCAGACAATCATCAAAATTGCTGCTGGAAATGGCGTGGGCAAGATCCTGGTTGGCAAGTGCGTCTTCCTCGTCTCTCTCGTTTTAATGACTTGTTAAGTGAATGCTAGAGAAAAGGAGGATTGATGTGATGGATGTCTTACATGCATGTAATGCTTCCCTGATTCATGAAAAAGATGTCTAGCGATATCTGCAATTCGGGTTGAATTTGATGCTAGAATGTGCTTGGTGCTTCATGTAAATAGATTCTGGTTTTCCTTCCTGGGTATCATTGGTGAGTATGTAACTTCTGTTGCAGGGATGGTATCCTCTCTACACCAGCTGTCTCTGCTGTTATCAGGAAAAGGGAGGTCAGTAAATGTTTCTCATGTGTGATGTACCCAGTAGTTCCTGAGGAAATGCAACTGATTGTAGTTACTATCTTCCTGGTTAATTAACGGAAACTTTCACGCAGGCAAATGGTGGATTTATAATGAGTGCAAGCCATAATCCTGGGGGCCCTGACTATGACTGGGGCATCAAGGTAAACTGCCAATGCACTTGAATTGTGTTTTTATCTGATCCAGAAACTGCTCTATTCAGTCTAAATGGTATTAGTTTGACTCATCATATCTGGTGTAACAGATTTCAGTTTTATGTAATTGGCTGTACTGCATTTAGTCTGATCTTTGTAGTCTTTTCTTCTAGCTGCCTTGTGATGCCTGGACCAAGGACTTCTATTATTTAGAGCTTTTCCGTTATTCAGGGTGGGGAAATCAATCTATCCTCAATTATTATCTATCTGTAGAAGTTGGTTTTCCGTTTGGTCATCTGTGCTGTCAATCTTCGTAACTTCACACCAAAAAAAATCTGTTATTTTTTTCCATCGAAACTTAAGTTTCCTTCAAGTTTTCATAAGAGAGGTCTATATAGAAACTGGAATATGTGCGTTCAAAATTATGTGTTTAGTTTGCTTGAGGTGAGCAGTCTGAGAGGTTAATTGAACCTTTCTTCTACTTTTGTTTAGTTTAACTACAGCAGTGGGCAGCCTGCCCCGGAGTCAATCACAGACAAGATCTATGGGAATACTCTTTCTGTAAGTATTGGTTATATGCTTCTAGCCTCATATCTTGTTTATTTACATATCCACATCATGTCGCTTGCTCTATTGCTGTCTTTGTGAATAACATTATGGTCACAAGATTCATAATCTCAGTACTGATTAAATCGTTTGTGAATCATAATGAAGTCCTTAGCATATTTTGCTGGTATCAGTTAGAACCCTGAATAAAATTTTTACACAAGACAATGGATGCTCGAAATTACTTGACTTCTTGCCTACTTTGCTTGTCTGATTATGAGACGTTCATAATCGATTTTTGACTGCCTGGGGTTGCAGATCTCTGATATTAAGACAGCTGAGATTCCTGATACTGACCTGTCGCATGTTGGAATTACCAAATATGGGAGCTTCTCTGTTGAAGTAGTAGATCCAGTTTCTGACTACTTGGAGCTAATGGAGGTCAGAAAACAACACGTTTACAAAATAAATATTGTGTTATCTTGTGCATTTCACATCAGTAAGTCTGTTGGTGGTCTTTGCAGAATGTATTTGATTTTCAACTCATCAAGAGTCTTGTTTCAAGTCCTGAATTCAGGTACATGCACAGAAATCAACTGAGTTTTAACCTTGAGTCGGTCTTCCATTCATATGGTCAATCTAATTATGTTCACACTGATGAATTCTTCTTGAATGCATCACTTAAACTTTGGTTATTTGGTCTCAGAAGTTATTATATTGTCTGCCCTCTACTCTCAACGAGGGCACATGTTTCGATAGCGAAACTCTGTTACAAACCTGTCTTTGGATGTATTCACTTTCAGGTTCACATTTGATGCAATGCATGCTGTTACTGGTGCTTATGCGAAACCGATTTTCGTGGATAAGCTAGGAGCTAGTATGGTATGTTCTGTACCTTGAGCATATCTGCCAATTCCCCAAAAAATCTCTGCCACGTATATGATGTCAGGCTTTTGGGTCTGCAAATGTAGGATTCAATCATGAATGGAGTTCCTCTTGAAGATTTTGGACATGGTCATCCAGATCCTAATCTTACGTAAGACACAAAAATATGTGCTTCTGATGAATTTGCTGTTATTAGAAAGAAAGTTCACCTTTATATCTCTGAAACAGATATGCCAAGGAGTTGGTTGACATCATGTATGCTGAAAATGGACCTGACTTCGGAGCTGCTAGTGATGGTATGTTAATTTTTTTTGTTTTTTATGTTCAAGTTTGGTTTCTTGAACGTTTACAGCAGGGTTTACCAATTGGAAGATGGTAAGCTTCCGAGTAGACAGGGTTGTCTGCCTGGACTCAATGTTACCATATATCATTTTGCTAGGGGACGGTGATCGGAACATGATCCTTGGCAAAGGGTTTTTCGTTACTCCTTCAGATTCAGTTGCTATAATTGCAGCTAACGCTCAAGAAGCCATCCCTTACTTCAAGAGTGGCCCTAAGGTAGTTAAGGATCCTTTTCCTTGCTCTTTTTACAATCTGGGATATGACCTAAAAGGACTTGCATTTCTTTCAGGGTTTAGCTCGGTCAATGCCTACTAGTGGTGCTCTTGACCGTGTGGCTGATAAGTTAAATCTTCCATTTTTTGAGGTCAAACTCTCATCTTGAAAATATCTGTTTTTGGCAGTAAAGCAACATAACATGAAAGGACAGCATAAACAACTTGAATATGGTCTTTTTCTTGTGCTCAGGTACCCACTGGTTGGAAATTTTTTGGCAACCTCATGGATGCGGGAAAACTATCCGTCTGCGGAGAAGAAAGCTTCGGAACTGGTTCAGATCACATTCGTGAGAAAGATGGAATTTGGTAGTTCTTCACTCTGTTGTTATACACAGGGTTAAAACAACCATAAATGTATTCAATTAATATCTGATTAGCTAGTGGCATGGGGATGAACTGGCAGGGCGGTTTTGGCTTGGCTTTCAATTATTGCCCACAGAAACAAAGACAAGAAACCGGGGGAGAAGCTTACCTCAGTTGCCGATGTTGTCAAAGAGCACTGGGCTACATATGGCAGAAACTTCTTCTCCAGATACGATTATGAGGTAACCACACGCTTCAACAGTGGCTGCCTGTCAATATTACACATTAGAAGCTAATATCTCTGTCTCTGACGAGCACAAGTTTGTTCCCCTCAGGAATGTGAATCTGAAGGCGCCAACAAAATGGTTGAATATCTAAGAGATGTGATCTCCAAGAGCAAACCGGGTGACCAATATGGTTAGTTCGTCCGTCTGCAAACTCCTCCTCCTCCATACTTCATACAGTCTCTGAAACCATCGGTGACTTGCTGACTGCCATTCAATTCACAGGAAGCTACGTCCTGAAGTTTGCAGACGACTTCTCGTACACCGATCCAGTTGATGGAAGCGTGGCGTCGAAGCAAGGCGTCCGGTTCGTCTTCAGCGACGGATCACGCATCATCTTCCGTTTATCAGTAATGAAACCCGTCAAATTCCTTACAGCTTACAAAACTCTGGCATAGATGCATACATACATACATGTTCAACTATCGTTCTGATATCCATCCGTACACAGGGAACAGGATCGGCAGGCGCGACTGTAAGAGTCTACATCGAGCAGTTCGAACCGGACGTCTCCAAACACGACGTGGATGCACAGACAGCTCTAAAGCCACTAATAGGTTTGGTTTCTTCTTCATCACGCATACACCAACCTGTTTTCCCTTGTTCATCCCGTCAATGGTTGTTGGTGGTTTTTCCAGATTTGGCACTCTCCGTGTCGAAGCTGAAGGAGTTCACCGGTAGAGAAAAGCCCACCGTCATCACATAAAAGAGCCCAAGCCCACCGGCCCAAGTAGGACGTCTAATGACTTTTTTTTTTGGCTGTACGGCTCCGTAGCCGAGTAGTAATTAATTAGCTTTCGCCTAGTGAAGCGACGAAGCAATAAGCAAAAGCTGCGGGCTTTCCTTCACTGTAAAGCGTGTGACCGAAACGACAAAACAAGAAAAAAGGTAAAATAAATGCTCTCTCTCTCTCTCTCTCTCTCTCTCTCTCTCTCTCTCTCTCTCTCTCTCTCTCTCTCTCTCTCTCTCTCTCTCTCTCTCTCTCTCTCTCTCTCTCTACAACCTGGTACTAGTAAAAGGGCGGGAAAGTGGTAGGGTTTACTTTCTCCCAATGAAGAGATAAAGTGCTTCAAACATACGATGCCATTACCACCACGATGCAGGATCGGAAATGGAGAGTGGGATGAGCAAGAAAGAAAAGAGGAAAAGATGGTGAGTGTTATGCCACACTCGGGAATAGGCAATTTGGGTGCCGAGTTTATCTTCCAACAGATGCAGCCACTTAATACACAGTCAGAATTAGGTCATGATAGAATTGCATACCTCGAATGCATTTCAATACTCCCAAATTGAGAAGACGATAGTGGTAAAAAGTAATAATAAACTTCAGCTCCAAATCATATGCACGTGTGGAGAATCCCAATGGGAAAAATTAATGGCTGTTTGGTTGATGGTTTTTAATCAATCATGGACTTTGTCCGAAATTTGTTGTTTGCTTCCTGCATTTAGTGGCCACAAAATCTATGAGACCCACCATCTCTGAGGGTCCAAATTTGTGGGTCCCACGGACTTGAATATTCACCCATTGACTAACATACTTCTCCTATTTTCTTTTCTCTCTTGATACCAATGAGGACAATAAAGACCAATTTCACTTGATGAATAAAATCTATGAGACAAACAATGATGTTTTTCAAGTTCACAAAGAACCCTATAAAATCTCATACATCCATGTTTTCTTCAAAAGTCAAAACCCAAATTTACCAAAATCTTCATTTTTCGAATCAACAAGGCGGAAAAAAACTCGTATAAAGCGTAGAGAGAGATCAGCGTCAGGACAGAAATAGTAGTGGCATAAGAAGACAAGGTAACTTTGAGGTGGGTACTAAGAAAAAGGTAAGGTAATAACCTATACTCCCCTTTGCTATAGCTCTTATAGCTATCGGCCTTTGTGAGCAAAAGGGGCCAATGGCATTAGCAGGAGGAAAGGCCGACCGAGTGTTGTGGGTGGGAGCTGACTGAGTGTTCAATTACGACAAACCACAACTCTCCATCCATCCATCCCACACCACACACAGTAATGGAACCAACACACGAGCACACACACGATTCCTGTCCTTAATTTGGATCGTCTCCTTCTCCTTCGTCTTCCTCTTTTATCAGTCTTGTCTTCAATGCAAACAAGAGATCGAGTAGTGCCCTACAGTGGAAGGATAATGGCTGCTGAAAACATTACATCAAACATTCAAGATGGCCAAAGAATTCAGTCAGCAGTCAGACTCTCTCCCTAAACCTCATCACCCTCACTATCAAAAACTTTTAGGGAACCCTTTCTTTTCTACTGATGTGACGATGGACCAAAGCTTGCTCCTTTACTATTACAACTCGTGTCATGTTCAAGTTCCTTCCTTTTTTCTCCAATGGGAAATCGAAACCTATCCAGGAAACAAACCAACAAAATTGCACTACATTACACTTTGAAATAATTCAATATGCACGGTTTTACTTGCCCCTGAAATGGGGGCATAGCCCCTCAAGGAGAGGCTTAATCCATAGTTTGTGGTACAGACCAGATTCAATTTCATGGGGAAAAAAAGAAGAAGAGAAAGAAAAAAAAAAACTGAGGAAACTATTAGGGGTTTTGGGACATGGAGGACCCTCAGTTTGTTCTAAAATCCAAAACCAAGATCAACAAAGGATCGCAGCTGCCCCCCATTTTGCAATTTGTGACAAAAGATCATCTCTCCCAGCTTCCCCCACCACCCAAAAATAATTGGTGTGTAGAGACAGCAATGGGGGAAAAAGCAAGCCAGCTTTTTAGTGGATGATAAGAGCAACCCTCACTAGCTAAGGAAGTTTGTGGGTAAAATGAAAGGAAAGGAAGGCATAGATAGTGCCGTATGTTTGGCGCTAGATACCTACTGATTTGGCTCACCGCGCGTTCCTATTTTGAGATTTAGACCGGATCAGTTTGTCTACAGGATTAGTTTAGAGTCGAGTGATCTTTTAGTCGTGTTAGGGTCGGGTAGAATCGGGTCAATTTAGGATCGAGTTATTTTTGGCCCTATAACTCATAGCAATAACTAGTGATATGAAATTTCTCATACCAACATATTGGATCTAATTGTAAAGTAGTAAGAGTTTATGTACTATCATGCAAGGTGAATATATAAAGGTACTAAAACTTAATTTTAAAAACAAAATTTCTAGATATTTTTTGTAAAAAAATAAATTGCAGCTACTAAATTGTAAAAAAAAAGTGCGGGTACAAAAATATAATTTTTAAAAAAAAATATGTTTATTGATGTGATTCGACCCACTAGCTCGGCCTGGCTCTACCCATACGGCCTAGACATAACGATAGGAGAATGGGGACGAAACAGATCAAGGTGAATGCTTGACCCTATAAGGTAAGATTTGTTAGGATAGTTACATGATTAGAGTCGAGTTTGGCCAAGTTCCAACCTAGACATAGAAAAAAGAGAGGGAGGGAGAGAGAGGAATGCCTTATCCATTAGGGAAGAGAGGCAAGGGTTAAATGTGTTTGACCTCATTACTCCTACCACCAACTAGTTACTAGTTGTTGGTCTTTCTGCTTCAAATCATCCATCTCTTACACATTCCAACCATGGTGGGTCTACAGGTTTTATGGGATTTCTTCTCGTGTGTAAAATCGCACACTATACACTAAAATATTACATGGATATTAATTTCACGTTACCATATTACGCAACAAGATGAGTAGCATAATCTGCTACAAAATTTTCCTCAGGAATAACATGAAAATTTAAGTTGTTGAAATGAAACTACATCCATTTTAAAACTCTCTTTTTATTAGTAAGTACTATTTAAATAATTCGGATTTGAGAGTTTTGATTAAAAACCAGTGATGGATCCCCACTAATCCAAACCCTTTTTGAAACTCTTATCTCCCAAGTTACTACTAGTCCCTCTCTGGCATTGGATCACAAACACAATAAGAACAACAAACGAATTGATGCCAAAAGAAAACAAAAACATGTATACTATAGCTTCGTTGATGTTTCAGTTCGTATCTGCATGACATTGTGATGACAACTCCACCACCATGTTAGTTGCCTCTAATCATGGGCCCTTCCCTGTTCTTCACTTGTCTTCTTGTAACAGCTCCTTCCTATTTGGCAAATGCGCTCTCTTCTACTGACTTTTGTTTTCTTTGTTTGGTACCAGTAGACTTCATAATAGTAGGAAAGAAATCCCATCTCATGACCACTTATGATAATCAATGGATTATTACAAATCTCAAAGAATGCCGTGGAGATTTGACCAATACAATCTACGGGGTGGGATGTAAGGATGCTAGAAGATTCATTCTAGTTAGAATATCTTTCAATAATCTGAGCTATTAGGATCAATTGAGTTTTGAATATGATTATCAACCGATCTTATATTTGAATCCCCATAACTCTAACATTAACAATGATTTAGTCACAAGAACTCGGAATGTATATAAGATTGTAAGAAAAACCGCAGACCATACAATTCGGTTTGAACCATACTTTAAACCGTATAATCATGGTCTGGCCCGAGTCATGAGAGTGAGAGACAAAGGCGAGACCAGTCCAACCTAGTAGGTATTGTATTTTTCGTTTGAACATTGTTGTTTAAGTTTGTGATTATGACCTTATGTTGATTTTTAAAACTTTATGTTCAAAGTTGGGTTTTTGTGTATGTGTTATTTGCTTCATGGCTTGGATTGAGGGTTATACATGCATTTTCAAAATTCTAGATTTCTAGTCTTTTTTCCCCCAAATCTAGAGACCAAATAAATCGATGATTTTCTATTGAACATGGTTTGCTTGGGCTGGACCAAACCAGACCAAACCGTACAGACGTACAAAGTTTTATCTTCACCGCAAATAATATGACATACCCTATGTTTGGCCCGACTTTTAGAAGTGTTTTTCGGCTTCAAAAGCTGAAGCAGGGCCAAACACCTATAAAAACTCGGCTTTTGAAAAGCAGAAAAACGCTTTTTTATAACATAAAAGCAGAAGCTCCGATTTGGAGCTTCTGCGAAAAGCTGTTTTGAAAATACAAAATTTTCTTTACCATATTTTAATTTTATTTCATAAAATATAATTTTCCTTCATTTATACCATTTTAAAAATAAAATAAATTATAAAATTATATTATTTATTATAAAAGAAATATAACAAGATCTATTTTGACTACTTTTTAATGTTTAGAATCATTATTCATATTTTATATTATAACTCATTTATAGTCATTTTACACAACCTCTCATATTAAAAAGCACTTCTAATAGTTTTGCAGCCAAACACTCAACTGCTTTTTTTGAAAAGCACTTATCTAAAAGCTCTAGCCAGAAGCTGCTTCTGCAAAAACTACAGCAGGGCCAAACTAAGGGCTCGTTTGCTTGTTCGATTTGAAAATGAAGGTTTTGAGTTTTAAAAACCTTTGGATTTATGATGGATTTGTTGCATCATGGATTTGGAAGAGTACATTGTTTGTTTAGTTGATTTTTTATCATGGATTTGTGATGGATTTGTCTCACATTTTTTCCTTCTATTGTCAAATCCCAAATCCCAAATGAAATGTGGGATTTACAAATCCGTGGGGTCCACGGATTTGGATCTAAAAAAGGGGTCCAAATCCGTGGACCCCACGGATTTGTGTCCCTCAACAAACAAATGATTTGTGTCAACTCGATCATGCTTGGGATTTGGGTTCCAAATCCATTACCCAAATCCCACAAGCAAACGA